GAATAGTAGCCGTCCCTCGACTAATCGCCCCTCTCCCACCCATATAGGTCATATAGGTTACCCGCTAGGGATACCCATAGCGCGGTAAACTTGAGGATGAAGCTGAAGTGAAGTCTGATCCAGCATAACTGATCAGTGACGATTCAAGATTTGACGCCGAGGACATTTACAGTGAAAATTAATCAAGAAGCCAAATTTGGAACACTTTAAATGCCAAAGTTCAGTTTATTTGACGTTATCTTTCTTTATTATTATTTAATTAATGGGAAAATGGAACATTCAAAATATTCAGGGCACGATTTCTTGTGAACAATATTTTAAATAATCTCCTCCCTCTAATTACCGCCCCCTTTTGGTGCGAGAAAAGAAATAATCGCCCCCGGCTATTATTCGAGGAAATGATAGAAGTTTGAACATATATATAGAAGTGCCATCGAATGACAAGTTATCTTTCATATGATGCTATGCATATGACAATGAAGGGAAACTCTTTAATTTACAGCAAGGAGGATAAATCTTCTTGCACGTAATCAAAACGTACACAGTCATTAAAGACTTATCACAAAAGTATTTTTTTCGAATATTCACCTAAAACACCACAGTAACGCTCATAACATGATGTGGGCTTTTGCAGTTTATACACGTAGTAGCCGTCACATTGTGTTATGTCAACGGGGTAGGATCTCTGGCAGCAGTCTGAACTCCAGTGCATGCATACAGTTGTTGTCACCGTGGTGTAGAGACTAGTCGGATGATCACCATTTATCCATGAAGATCTATGGGTACTGCAACTTGATTTGGGAATGCAATACGACGCCATCATCCTTCCAGCTCCTCCAACAAAGCGATACCACTTATTGTTGACAAATTTAGGGTCATAATTATCGCAGATTAAAGAACCACTATTATTGCTCCAATATCGGCCAGGCTCATCAAGGTCAATGTAGGAGTTACATTCTGTTGGAACTATCGATCCTGATGGGATGAGAATAAATTAATCAGACAGACGGAGACGTATAGTTATTCTTCCTTTAGCTACAATTTGTAACTTTATTTAGAACTTGGGTCAATTGAAGGAATAACGCTGCAATGTCGTGCTCAAAGTCCTTTTTCCTCTCTCTTTCAATTTTGGCCTCGAAATTGAACAATTCCACCTTGACTGTATTCTGCCATCTTCCGTCTGTCATCATTTCTTTGAAAGGGCACTCGCTTTTAGACTGATTCATCGGGCTGGTCAAGCTGCAAGGGGGCTATATTTCATCGTGTTCAGCCTAAACTCCTACAACCTCCGCCACTCGATACACTCCATTTTAGAGCTAGCATTTATAGTGCGTAAATATCGCCTACAGAAGGGGGGTTTGGCTGCATTCGTCTAAGAAAACAACATAAACTAAAAATCACGTTGAATTTTTTAAAAGAACTATTAAGTCATGATCAATCCATTCTGAAAGGAGATTAAAACTCATTAAAAGGGGAAAAATGTTTTTTAGTTTCCATCCAGCTGCTCATTTTTTAGTTGTCTTCGTTAGAACTCATCACACTTTAATTTTTGCATCTCAATGACATAATCATCTGCTTATGGCAATTCCAAAAACTCACTCTTCACTTCCTTGCACGTGCAAGATGGTGCATTTAAAGGACGATCGATGCTGTCGAGTAATTTAAACATCACTTTTCAATAAATAACTGACTTCAAACGTTACATTTTTTTACCCGGCCACTTTAATGAAGTGTAGAAAACACAAGCGTCCCCATACCAGAAGCAAACACGGATTCAACGGATTGCCGCGATTTCATTATTAGCCGCCATCTTAAATGATGTCACACGTCTCTACGAAACTCCCATCTCTGATGGTACAGCAGTAAAGCTAAAGTATTTTCTCCTACCTTGGCAGTTTTTTCCATTGCCTGTAAATCCTGCCTTACAAGTGCAGGAATACGATCCACGAGTATTGGAGCAGTTAGCGTTGATGTCACATACAGAAGGGCAAGCACTGCATTCGTCTATGTCTAAGAAAAGCAACTCTAATTAAAAAATCACTAGTCCACTTTGAATTCTTAATAGAACTAAAAATGCATCAAGAAGGGAAAAATGTTTCATGGTTTCCATCTAGCTGCTCCTTTTTAGCTGTCTTTGTCAGAACTCAACACTTTTTTTTGCATCTCTCATTATCATCTGCAATGTCTGCAATCGGCAATCCGCCATAATCAACCCACAACCCTTCTGTGTCTGAACTCTGTGCCAGATGTTGTTAGATCAAGCCAGATTGCCGCGTTTACTGATGACACAAAGGTTTTCAAAGAAATAACATCAACGCGCCATGCAGAAAAACTTCAGGAGGACCTAGAAGAATCTGACCACTTGACCAAGTCAGATAGCCTAAACTTTAACTACAGCAAATACAAAGCGCAGCGCATACTAGGAAACTTAAACCCGTCATCTTTGTCTATCATATGGCCGGCTCTCAGCTTGAAGTTGACTCTGCCGAGAAGGATCTTACATCACTGAGACCCTCCCGCAGAATAAGCAAGTCAATGTGCAATGCGCTTAAAGGCCAGCAGGCCCCCTGGGATATGTACGGAGAAACACCAGCCACCAGACTCGTCAAAAGCATTACGGTTAGACACGGCATACTTTACCCTAGTAAGATCCCACCTTGGCTATGCCACGCAAGTCTGGACTCCCCAGTCAATAGACCTGATTCGAAAGCTCGAGCGTGTCCAGAAGCGCGCTACAAAGTATACTGGATCTACCGTTCATTTGTGACCAAACATATTGAGGGACAGACTAATGTAACGTAACGTGTCTATCGGCCGTCTCCGTTGTTGTTTTTAATGATCATAAGAAGTTTTACTGTTTCTTACATATCTTTTTAGCTCTGGGACCACTGTAACTGGCTCACGGCTGTCGTGGCACCCCTGCCTATTAAGCATAATTTGCCAGTCTTGACTCTTTCGCATGATCCTACGCCAAGTCCCTTTCCTCGTAATAAAATTGAAATTAGAGATTTAAAAGTTTAAACAAGCACTATACTACCCGTTATCTTGCTCAGTATAATCACCGCCATACCGACCCTTGTATGTTCTTAGGTATGTTTGTGTACTTTTCTTTTTCCTCTCTTTTATATCTCATACTTCGTATACTTCTCTTTTTTTTCCCTCTTTTACCCTAAAGAAGACTGTAATTTAATCATAGGGCTCGTAATGAGTTTCACAATATCTTCATGCCCTTCTCCCGACCATTTATTCTTGTAATCTGTGACACAAAACTGAAATCTTATGAATGGTATCAAAAATCTTATGAATGGTATCTAGTCTGTAATAAAATATAAATGACCTGTAAAATAAATATAAATGGAGGAAATAATGAAATACAAAAAAATACAAAATGGCAATTCCAAAAGCCCAGTCTTCACTAGCTTGCACGTGCAAAGTCAAGGGATCCGATTTCAGTAGCCCTCTTTGAACACGCTCATAGTTGCATCATGGGTAGTCAGGGCAAGATGGAGGGAAATTCAAAGATTGGTATTGGAATTCAAAGCCAGCTTGGTCTTCCTGAATTCATATATATTTACCGCGTTCTCTTTGAAAAGTGTAACTTATGAGATGAATCTGCATTGCATAATAGTCCAAGATCAGTTTTTAGAAAACCTCAATTTTTCCATACATTTTCTGTTACAGTAATTTTGATTCCTTCGAAGTACAGAAAATGAAAGGAGAAATTTTCTAATAACTGATCACGGACTTCTTTGCAACCCAGATTTAGTGCTTTGAACTCCTAAATAAATTTATTATCTTCAAGGAGAAAGCATCAAATGTATGAATTAAGGAAGAATTAGCTGGCTTTGAATGCCAATGCAAATTTTTGAATTTCCTGCCCTCTTGCCCTGATTACCCATAATGCAACTACAGTCGTGAAGCCGTCTATTTAAACATCACTTTTCGTTAAATAATTGAGTTCAAACGTTGCATTTTAAGTGTAGAAAACACATCAAGCGTCCCGATACCAGAAACAAACACGGATTCGATGGATTACCGCGATCTTATTATTAGCCGTCATTTTAAATGATGTCACACGTCTCCAGGAAACTGCCATCTCTGACGGTACGGCAGTAAACTAACTTATAAGCTTAAGTATTTTCTCCTACCTTGGCAATTTTTTCCGTCACCTGTAAATCCTGTCTTACAGGTGCAGTAATAAGATCCACGAGTATTGGAGCAGTTGGCATTAACGTCACATACAGAAGGAGAAGCACTGCACTCGTCAGTGTCTAAGAAGAACAAAATTTATTTAAAAAACACTTTCTTAATGGAAATATTCAGTCCTGTTGAAATTAGCTAAAGTATCTTATATTACCTTGGCAAGTTTTTCCATCGCCAGTGTATCCTGCCTTACAAGTGCAGTAATAAGATCCACGAGTATTGGAGCAGTTGGCGTTGATGTCACATACAGAATGGGAAACACTGCATTCGTCAATGTCTACACAAACAAACATTATTGAACGGCATTAACCCTTTCTATCTAACATGATATTTTTTGCTCAAAATTTTTTTTTTCATATTTTTTGTGTTTGTGTTTGCATGATTAGTTTACATCTCCCGCTAAAAATTAGTCAGCGATGAGGCATGATAAAATATCGAAAAACTTAACATCAAGCCTTTCACTCGCCGATTATCTATAACTCGTCTGACCAAACTCACCGTTGGTCTTCATATTGCAATAAGCCATTACAGATGTACCAGATTTTACAGTGGAAAACCAGTATTTCTTGCTAACAGCGTGTCCTTCACTCCTCTTTATTTCGTCACAAGTTTCAGCTGGCAGTTCTTGAATCGAACCAAGGGGAACTAAACGGTCAGAAACAGATCTATGTTAATTCATCAGTATGCTTTTTAACCCTGCATACTTTTTACGTAATGCCGAAGTGGGGAATGGGAGAGAGAGAAGAAGGAAGTGGCAAGAAGTAGAAGGAAAGGGGAAAATGTTAGTTGGAAAAATATTAAATATATAAACAAACAAAACAAAAAAAACCTGCAAAAGAAAAAGCAAAATAAGCTCTTTCGACAATCGCACCCAGCGCATCTTACTTTGGCACCAGGTGCTTCCATGTTGTCAATAAAATGTGACTAATAATATGTAAATAATGCTAAATTAAGTGATAACTATAATGATACAATTAGTAAACATAGAAATAAAACCTCAGGTTTTAGAGGAAACGCTAATTTTGTACACACGGCTGTCAAAATTCGGTTTCCATGGCAACGTCATTGCTGACGTACACGCTACGCAAGGACTTAAGAGCGAATGCACAGAAAAATCGAGCAAAATCGGCAAATCGTGGCCACACCTAAAAAAACCTAACTTACCCTCATTTTCAGTCTGTAATAAGGTTTTAATGAGTTTATAACACTGCTGAGGTTTAAATTTCAAAATGCGGCCGAGTTTGGGAATTATTTGAGATTTTCGATTTCAACGGTCAGCGGGCCTAAAATTAGCCGCCGAACTCGGGAAAATAGCCCAGTGACAGAATTAAGCTGACTTTCATAAACGAGCGAATATATTGGCAACCTTCCACTTAAATCTCAAAAAGCAGATATCTAACAATTTCTGAACGGCACATTTTTTAGATTTAGAGTATAAAATATCAACGAACGAGCAGAATTTTGAAACGTAATTTGCATAATGCTTATAAATACAACAATTTACCGCTAAAACCAAAATCGAATTTTCTATATGGGGGAATTCTCCAAATCACCCCAAATCACGCTTACTACCCAATGAGATATAGTACTTCAACATTATCTGAAAGTTAGTCTGGTGTTCTTGCGAACGCTTGTAAAATAGATTGATTATTTTGAGGTTATTTTGCCCCAAACAACCGCTAATTGACCCCAGGGTCAGTTGACATGTGCACGTCACCTTATAGTTTTATGCATCGATTTGAGCTCGTTAAAAGGGAGAAACTAACAAGATTCTTTTAATATGTACCTGTTTTAATGAAATACACACAATCTTCAAAAGGAGAGGCCGTTCAATGGGTAATTTCTGTTCTTGAGATCTTGTAGATTGCAGCATGGCGTCTGCGAGTGGACCTGAGTCTAGGTCTATTTTCCCGTGACTGCGAAATCAGAATAACATCAAGAAATAATTCTCCCTCGAATCTTCGTAAGTGAATCAGCTTTGCAGTGCGTTACCTGAGATAAAAAGTGGGCCGAATAGCAAAACATTTCTAGCGCAATTCGGGTCCTTTGTGGAACGCAGTGTATTGCTGAGCGAAAGGTGAGTAAACAAACGTGGGAAAGTACGTTACCTTTGATTACGTGACCAGCCAGTAAACGATAGTCTCTAGCGAGAAATAGGATTCGCAAAAATCTTGCTGATGTATATTGAACGGTTTGTTACTATAAATTTACACCTGGTTTGTCTAAAACTTTAAACAATGCATATCTGTCCAAGAGTATAAGAATGTTTCGAAAGATCCACCCTTAATAACTGTGGGCTACACCTTTTTCCCCATCACCGATGTGCACTTCCTTCACATTGTCTTTTGCACGAGGCTTGTATGCCTTTTTAACTGTTATCGACACTTAAAACTGGCCGTTTAAGGCCTGGTTTAAGAACTTGACTGACTTTAAAAACCGTCGCGAACATGTGCTATTATATTATTGTTGGACTTTGGAAGCTTTAAGCCCAAAATGATGGTGCAATCTCGAGAAATTTGCCCGGGTCTAATTATAAGACAGGGAACGGATACTAAGAAAGGGACGGTCTCATTTAGCAACCCGTGGACAATCTGGGCATGCTTGCCTTCTGTCGCAGGGGCAACCGTTAAGGCCAGGTACGCCGCCCCCACCAGAGAGGATTGCATGGCATCCACCATTTCAGTCGCTTTTTCCACATCATGACCTTCCATTATCATGAATTATAATGCGGGCCTTGATCGTTGCCACCTTACCAGAAGTCTAATCTTCGAACTGTTAGACCATAAGAATCTCTATTATTATTCCATAAATGCACCATTGACTTTTCCTTGCTCAGCTTCCGGTAAACCGATACTCCGAAGCAAAAATAGCTTTACAACGACTCTATCCAGGCCGGAACTCCTGATATCAACAAATATACCCCCCCCACCCCGCTAAAGGGAGCAAACGTTCCAAACTATAGCCGTTCATCCTACAAGCAATCTCAGTTTCAGCAGGCGTGGCCACGTTTCCAGTTGCTGTAAGATTAATTCGACACCTGCAACAGACACTGTAAATTAAATAGCAGCCACAACGCTCTTCTTTGAAACCGTCAGGACGAGAAAGTTTATAAAAGACTTAACAGGTGTGCGCGGCGGTTTCCTTTTCTTCCTTCCCTTCCACTGTAGCCCTCAAATTCTGACCCTGATATTAATGCTAGTAGTAATCAATCGTTCCTTAGTCGATAGGCACAAGGATACCAGTTTCTTGCAAAATATGCTGTTACATCCGTTTGCTCATTCCCCTTTCTGCCTTCGCCCGCTGATTAGGTTTGGTTCTGTGCTTTGAAATAACTTTAGGAACAAAACATGATACGTGAGGGGCGTGTCCGGCTAAGGGTAAGTGACTCTCGGTGGTGAAGACATATACTGAGCTTTTCAGTATTTCGTAGCCTGTACCACGTCGCGAAAATAGAACAAGCCAAAGAAAAATAAGACGCCTTTCTTTCCCCAGCCCCCGCAGGTTTTTCGCATTACTTTGTACTGCACAACTGATTCTACCTTTTCGAGCCGGAGCGAACATGGACGCCCTTAGGTTAAGTTTCCACTTCATTTTCGGCACCTGACTAAACGCAAGCGCTGACTTGTGCGCCTATGCTTCGTTTGCACTGAAGTAGCAGTATATGACTACGACAGACTTGCTGCTATCCTTGGTTTGAAACCGCAATGGGCAAGGACAATTTCTTGAAAAGAGCAAACTATTTCCTCCTTAGCAGACATGGAGAACAACTACTAGGACTTAAGCAATGCCATTGCTTAAGTCCTACTAGACTTGAAATGAGAAAGCATGATGCTTTCCCTTTTTAATGATTTACGGCTAAACAGTACAATTTCATGTAGCTTTTACGCAAAATTAAATACTTAGTTGTTTGCAGAATTGCATTTAACAACAAATTACAGAAATTTAACTAAGTTTAGATCTCATAGATAAGAATTGAACGGAAAAAACTTTTGGGGTAAAAAAGTCAAAAAATAATGTTTGCTGGAAAATCACTTAATGGACATACAATAGCAGACATATCATTCCTGATATCATGCCTGTAATTTTCTGTTCAATGCACCTTAAGACAAGTCTGACTAATCCACTGGTAACCCATGCCTTAAAACCGCCTTGAACCTTAAAATTTAATCCATTTGCCTTTCATGCGTAGTGCAAATATACCGTAAAATTCCGAAAATAAGCCCCGGGGCTTATATTTTTCAAAGGCCCTTTTTGAGGGGCTTATTTTTGGAGGAGCTTATATTCGGAGGAGCTTATCTATGGAGGGAAATTCGCGTTTCAAAATCGATTGGGCTAGCCTTATAGTTGGAAGGAAATTGACCTTTTTTCCTTTATTTTAGTTTGTGTTTGAGGGCAATTTCCAAGTACAAGCCCCCGCGGGGCTTATATTCGGAGGGGCGATTTAACGGAGGGTTTTTTGCGTTACGAGTTTGGGGGGCTTATATTTGGAGGGGCTTATACATGGAGGGGCTTATTTTCGGAATTTTACGGTATCTTCTGAACACTCCGGGGTTTGGGGTAAAATCAGAAGAACAGAACATTCAGTTACTGTACCATTCAGTTAAAAGTGGGACAGTATGTTTGCTAATCATCTTAGTTAACCGCTTTTAAAATAGGACAAAAGGACACCTGGTCATACAAGAAAATGAATTTACTGTATCCCGAAAGCTTTGGTTCCCGTGCACTTATTTTTCGCAGGAGACAGTCGATAATTGCACGGTCACGCAATCGGAGGTGAGTAACTAATTAAAAGTCATTTGATACCATCGCCGCTTAGCAAATGCACTACGTGCTGCAAAGGATCCAAATTGCGCTAGAATGTTTTCCTATTCGGCCCACTTTTTATCTCAGGTAAGGCACTGCAAAGCTGATTCATTTACGAAGGTTCGAGCGAGAATTATTTCATGATGTTATTCTGATTTCGCAGTCACGGGGAAACAGGCCTAGACTCAGGTCCACTCACAGACGCCATGGTACAATCTACAAGATCTCAAGAACAGAAATTACCCATTGAACGGCCTCTCCTTTTGAAGATTGCGTGTATTTCATTAAAACAGGTACACATTAAAAGAATCTTGTTAGTTTCTCCTTTTTAACGAGCTCAAATCGATGCATAAAACTAGAAGGTGACGTGCACATGTCAACTGACCCTGGGGTCAATTAGCGGTTGTTTGGGGCAAAATAACCTCAAAATAATCAATCTATTTTACAAGCGTTCGCAAGAACACCAGACTAACTTTCAGATAATGTTGAAGTACTATATCTCATTGGGTAGTAAGCGTGATTTGGGGTGATTTGGAGAATTCCCCCATATAGAAAATTCGATTTTGGTTTTAGCCCCTTACCAAAACCACATATATGTTACATATAGCGCCTACATATATATGTGACATATATGTGACATATATGTGAAATATATAACACATATATGTGACATATATGTGTCATATATAACACATGTATGTTACATATATGTCAAATGTAGGTATTTGGAACCCATTTGCAGTTACTTACATATATGTCACACATATGTAGATATATGTGACATATATGTAGTTAATAGCATTGCATATACAGGGCAAATATATGTCACATATATGTGGCATATATTTGAAAAAAATTGATTAGGTACATACCAGCTGCGCCTGCTGTACTTTGAAGTTAATTGTTATAGATATACATGTAGTACTTATATATATCTGCTGATATCTTACATCTTCAATAAATATATTACACCTTTTTTTTTCATTGAAATAATTGTATTCTGGTCATAAATTCTTCATATACACTAGCTGTCTTAAAACTGAAAACTTATATAATTCTTACAGACTAGTTACCATTATCACATGACAGACCATTTCAGACAGTCCAACTTCAGTGTGATGCACATCAATCAAAGGAAGCTGTTGACACTGTTTTTCAAATTCAGATTGCATTTCGAACAATTTGGCCAAAAAAGAAGCAGTAAAATTAACAAATAAGCAGATTGAAGATTTCAATCAACATGATAAAAAATTGTCATTGTATTACAACTTATTTAGACTGCCATTCACATGTTTGTTACCAATTCCAACAACAATCTGATTATCGATAATAAGAGGATTCAACACACACGCATGTACATGCATACATATATATAAGAAAATAATATGTGTTCTTGTATCTTCTAAAAAAATCATTTTGTCTTTGATATCCCCCTCCTGCTTGCAGTGCACTTGTCTTGGATTGTTTTTCTCACTTTGGAGATGACATTCCCATCCTTGAACTGGGATTGAACAAATGCTGTAGATTGAGAAGGATTTAAAGCAATCACACAACTGCCAAAGCTTAATATTAAATGCTATATATAGTAGATGTGTTACACATGTTTATAACCTGCATGAACACATGATTAGGACCCCCTTGTTTTCACCAGAACCGAAATTAAACTAACCAAAGAAAGCATGTCTTGTATAATTAGGATTATATGTAATATTCTCATTGATTCAGTAAAATCAAAACAATAACTGATGCCATGAAAATTAAAGCTCATAATGTCATAGCGGTACAGGAGTTTACATCAAAGAGTAGCATATCATTTCCATAATGAACTGAGAGGGGTTGTTTTACTTTTAGGGAAGGAGGAGGAGAATCAATTCATTTCTTCTTCAACAAATACAGTTTGCTACTATATAAAAGAGCTTAATTAATAGATGATTTATACACTGAATGCAAATATGGCCGTCAGGCCTTTTTTTTGTTTAGCCAAGTTTTCATAGAAATTATAATGATTTCACGTGAACAAGTGCCTCTAAGTATATCATCTTAAAAATTTGAGCTGCAAAGTTATGGCTGACTGAAATTATAAACATTTGTGTGGGAAAAGATAGTCTATATCCTCACTAGCCTCGCTTTCATGTTTTTTCCCAAAATGTGGGTGCCAATACCTTCTTCTTAAATAAGAACATGGCCCTGAAAATACGCACAATGACTTATTTTGACCTGATCTTTATCATTATCCAATTGCTTTTCTTTTCTTGAAAACCTGCCCAGACCAAAAAATTCTTGGATGGCCATATTTGCATTTGGTGTATGGTATACATGCAGTCAACTCTCTCAAAGCAGACACCAAATGTAAAGGCAAACATATCTCTAAGACAGACGTGGTTGGCTAGTAAGGTGGACAGCTAGAGCTAGTCCAATGGGTGTCCACCTTAAAGAGATTTCATTGTGCAATAATAAAAGCTGGTTTTTTCCCATGAATCAAGCATAATACATGCACGAAAAACAAGTAGGACAAGTAATGCAATCAAAGAGCATACATGTACCTGTGATGGCTTTAATGATTTGAGGCACAGCTGTCTGTAGCCCAAGTTGCCCCCTCCTGCCAAGTTTGAAATCATTAAAGTTTTTTTGTCAAACATGACGTCAATCAAGTATGCTGTCATAGTGCCCACTGATTTTCCTTCTGCCAATGCATTCAGTCGTTGGGTCGGGTACCAGAAAACCCCACTCCCTATGGCCATTTCTTCCATCTAAGTAAAAAGAGATACAATAAATGAGTGAAATGTACAGTGAAATGTTCACATCTGTACCTTGAATTCTTCTTCAAGTTTAATAACAAAACCCCAACTTTGGATGAAGAACAGAAAAATTTAACGCACCTATTTAAAGTCTCCCTCACAGAGAATTACATTTCTTCTGGATGACCTATCAAAGGGCTGGATTCATGAAGCCCACCTAAACTAAGACATATCCTAAGCATTGTTTATTAACAATAGTCTATTGTGGTTACGACAATAGACTATTGTTAATAAACAATGTTTAGGATTTGTCTTAGTTTAGAGGGCTTCATGAATCCGGCCCCAGAATGTTAAACTTATTACCAATAACATTGTGACTTCATATCAAGCAGATGCACCCTTAGTATTTAGGGAACACTAGGTTTGTAGGTTGTACATGTAGGGTGCTTGAAATAAACAACAAATACATCTGGTAAAACAGCTGCCCTCAAATATACAATTGAACATTAAACTAGGAGTGCTTGTTATTTAAAGCATGCATGTACAGGCATGTGTACCTTGTGTTTTGATGCAATTACTGGAGAAATGACTCCAGCAAGTGGTTTGTTAGTGTCTTCACTATACTGATCTGAAAGAAATTAAACAAAACAGTCCTATAAGAATAGGTACCTGTACCAATGAATCAAAAACATACATACATTACACAACCCTCCATCATTTTCAATGATTGACAATCAAAAAAAAAAATAGTGAATAATAATTAAATTTTAAGTGTGCCAATTAACTGTTATTTTTGTAGGATAAAAAATGTTTCTAGTGGCAGTTATATACAAAACATGATAACAATAAACAGTAATTCTAACCATTCAATTTCTGCTCTAATTCCAAAACTTTCTGCTTCAGTGAGGCATTTTCTTGTCTCAAGAGACGGCATTCCTCTCGTCCACACACTTGAGAGGGCAGGCTGAGATCCTAAAAAGAAACATATATTTGTAATTATAAGTACAAGTTTTATGTTTATATTCAGTGAAGGTAAACTTGATCTACACCTGCATACATGTGTGTTCATTCATTATATTCATAACAGCTACAGTCAAACCTGTATAAAGAAAACACTCTCAGGACCCTCACCAAGTCTATATGCCTATATGATGTTTGTTCTTTTGACACAACTCCAAGACCACATTGCATATCAGGTAGAGCAAGTGCAAAATGAATAAAACCATGACATATAACACAGACAATTAATGGACAGATTGCTAGATACCATGCATACTCACTTTGCTCTTGATCAGTTTCATAAAAAAGCTTCCTTGATCCCTTCTCTTTCCTTGATATTGGTACAACTTTAGAAGCACCTTGCAAAACAAAATACATGTATGCATGCATCTGAATAAAATTTACTTCATCATTGGGATCATTAACTTGAGTGTAGAGTACCTTAAGTGTAACTTGAATAAAATTTACTTCATCATGGTAATCTCTAGCTGTTGTTCTACTTCCTTTTAAATTATTGTTACAACTCCAAGACCACTTTGAATATCAAGTAGAATATATGCATGCAAAACAAATAAAATCATGAAACAACAATGGACAGACACTATAGATACTATACTCACTTTGTCCTTGAGCTCCATCTGTCAGATTCCTTGATCCCTTCTCCTTCCTTGATATTGGTACAACTTTAGAAGCACCTTGCAAAACAAAATACATGTATGCATGCATCTGAATAAAATTTACTTCATCATTGGGATCATTAACTTGAGTGTAGAGTCACCTTAAGTGTAACTTGAATAAAATTTACTTCATCATGGTAATCTCTAGCTGTTAATTGTTCTACTTCCTTTTAAATTATTGTTGCAACTCCAAGACCACTTTGAATATCAAGTAGAATATGCATGTAAAACAAATAACATCATGAAACAACAATGGACAGACACTATAGATACTATACTCACTTTGTCCTTGAGCTCCATCTGTCAGATTCCTTGATCCCTTCTCTTTCCTTGATATTGGTGCAACTTTAGCATCACCTTTCAAAATATACATGTATGCATGCATCTGAATAAAATTTCATCATTGGGATAAAAGTGTAGAGTACCTTAAGTGTAACTTGGAAGGACCTTACAAGTGATAACTGCATGTACTAATCATTTTCACTTTTCTTGGTTGCTTTGAGTTATAATTAAGAAATAGCTAATTAGATCACATTAAAGCACATTATATGTTAAAAGAACACAAGAAGGGCTTGTCAATGATGAGTGCTTTGTTTGGTGAAGGTTGAGATTTTGGTGGCATATTTTCCTTAAACCATTCTGGTTCCTAATTCTCAGTAATATGGATAGTTTTGGATTTGCATGCAAATTTGGAACAGAAATCAGAAAAAAAACATAAGGTTCATCTGTTCAGGTCAAGTAGTAGGAATGCTAACTACAGGTTTTTCAACAGCCCAAAACTTAGACATACCCTTCTGAAAAAGTTCCTTTAGCGGTGAGCGGTATGGCACAGTAACTTCCATTCCTACAAAATCATCATCAGCATGCATCTCTTCATCACCTGGGAAGTACTCATCCTCACTGCTGTTTAACGGCTCACTCTCAGAATCAACCATTATTAAGCTTCCAGAATATCCAAGGGATGAGCTATGTGACTGCTGGCTTGGAGATACTTTGGCCTGTTGAAGACTACATGCACGCTCGCTTTCAGAGTCACTCAGCTCTTCGGAACATTCATGGGAAGAGCTACTTATTTGGTTTTTAATTTGGAATGTCTTTGCCTGCTGAAGCCTCTGCTTTAGCAGGGCTTCCTTTTGACTTTTGCCTTTGCGGCTTTTTTGGCCTTGGCCTCCATAGATAATTTCTTTTTTTTTTTTCTTCACATTCGTCTTCACTTTTGTTTACTTCTGGATCGGATTCCGTCTTTCCTTTTTCTGTGCTAGACCAGACATTTGTTCTCTTCCTTTTCCTTTCCCCCCTTTGTCTACTTTGGCTTTTTGTCTTAGTTGGCAATTTTTTCTTTTGAGTTCTTCTCTGCTGGACATTTGTCAGATACTCTAGATCTGTAGGATAGCAGACATTTAAAAAGAAAACACTGAAGTCAGACAAATGGAAGAATATCATAGTTATGTCAGATGAATTCTTGGGAGGCTTGAAAAGATTGAGTGTCTTGTGTGGCAAACAGAAACAAGGGAAATGCCAATCATTGCAGGAATTGATTATGCAAATGTCTAGAAATAATATGTCAAATTACATTAATTCAGTGCAACTAAAATTGACATTCCACTACATGGAAGCTCACTAAAAGAAATACTTGACCTGTTTTGACTGTCATGCAACAACTTTTTGCAAATTATACCCATCAGTGTTATGTATACTTTTCCAGCTTATAACACCAAATTAAAGGCAAATGAAATCAATGCCATGTTGTTATAATAATTATAATACAAATACAATGTACAGTGAACTATAAAATCCTACTTAGGAAGGCCCTTTGCTCCTTCCTCTCACCCTGGGATTTATCAGTTTGTGTTAATGCATGGCCAGGCCTTTATTTTGTGATGATTTAATTAGTCTTACCTCCAATGTCCACAACAAATGCAGGATACCAGTCCTTGTGATGGGCATCCGTCCACAGTGCATCACAAGATGCTCCTTTTTCAATTTTTTCACAGTTTCTAATCTCATCAGCACTGACTATATTTTTGATGTTGTCATCCTTGAAGACAACAAGGTAGTGGTCTACGATAAAGAACAAAATATAATAAGACACATCAACGATATTATAATCAATTAATGGCACCAGACAAACCAGTTTGTATGCTGCACACTAAATAATAAGAATGCAATCTTGAAGTTAACATATTGAAATTTCGCAAAGAATCTTGAAGTTGCTCTCAGCTTATATAGTGCATGGTCAAGAGCTTTGATCCTGAGCCAAATATCAAAGTTGATCGAAAAGAAACTGATCGTTGTTGTTTAAGAATAAACCAGTTACTAATCTATCCAGATCTATCAAAGATGGAATGTATAGCTAAAGAATGAATCATGCATTATTTATTACCTTGACAATGATAAATGAAAAATCGAGGGTGATCCCAATTTCAAAAGTGCCATCTATACAATTAATCTATCAATCAATAACCAGGCTATGACCAGACTGTAAGCAGTCCCTCTTTTCTTTGCCGTCGATTATTAATTGAGCAAGTCGAAGATATCAACATCAGATAGAAACGAGAAAGAAGCGATTTTGACAGATTTGGCGAACAGTTACATTTGTAAATGAACGCGGCAATATTGAAATGAGTGGAACGAAAGCCTAATTAATGATGATCTTCGGAACGAATTAATCCTTGCACAATATCCGAAACAACTGATATCCTGGAAAATTCTTAGAAATTATTGAGCATGAATGAAAAGTTCGAAATATATATGAGATATGAGGTGAACATATAACGATAAAATTATGCACGTCTTATTCAACCTCTGAAGAGGTTGAAAGGACTGCGAGCTGTACGTTGCACGTGTTCTGTCCCCAGCATATATGCGACATTCTTCCCAGCATTTAAAACTACAAAATTGATTGCCAAGCTCCATCGTATAATGCAAAAGCCTAAATTTATTTTATTCAAGCAAAAAGATTGCAGTGTATATTTACTAGAAAGAGTTTATATAGGTCGTAGAAGCGTGTTTTTTTAAACCGCGTTCATTGAACCGCGAAACGCACGCCTGTAATTTAATTAATTCCTATATAAGCATGGGCCGAGCTCTCAAAATCATTGTTTTAGAACAATAATCTTAATTTAGGCACTTACAAGAATTACATTTGGAAGTAAAATGACTTACCAAGATGATCAGTGAAGCGAGAAGGTGCTTTTGTTTTCCTCATAATTGCAGAAATCAACAAGCTGACAAAACCGAACTCGATCCTCTTCAAAACGAACAACGAAAGGAACAACGAAATGAACAAATGAGCGCGAAAACGGCCTCTGTGAAGTTTTCGCGCTCATTTTGTGTAGTCACGTGTTAGGTGTAAGCCAATCAGCAGGGGATTTTGATATGTATTAGATGCCAGTCCACTCTACCTGCAGTCTTTCCTGAGTTGACCATGGAGTCGACGAAACGAAAGAAGAGAGGTCGATACAACTCGCATCGAAGAAACCCTGCTATACCTAAGCCGAAAGCCACTGTTTCCCGACATAACAGGCGAAAAGCAAACTTCTCATCGGATGAAGATGAACAAAGAAAAAACCGTGTTTCAAGCGAACTGTTGATGTTGTTTTCGAAAATAGTCAAGCATCATCGGACGAATCGGATTTAAACATTACAAATATGTACTTGGCTTCATGTTCTAGTTATCAAGATCTAGACCACGAATTGTCAGACGTTTTGTCGGAATCAACGCATGATGACGACAGTGTAGAAAAACTGGATGCGATTTGGGTGATATCTCAGAAGACGATCGAAGCTCCACATCTTCAGATGACGACCAATTCTGTGCACGTGGAGACAGTTATAATCACATCAGGAGTAAATCGACTGATGAAGAAGACCCTGTATATGTATACCCTGGGTCGCCTCTTTTGTTGTCGGAAAGCATTCTTTTGATTCTTACTTTGGCTGTAGCTCACAATCTGAATGGAAGTTGTCTTTCAGACGTAATTTCTTTGATCAATTTGCACTGCATTCCTGGTCCACTCAACAAGTGTGTCAACTCACTCAGTGAGCTCAAGAGGTACTTTGCTGACTTCGAGCTTCCCATAACAAAACACTTTTACTGCAGTTTTTGCTCTGAGTATCTTGGTGTTTTAAGTGATACTCCTGATGTGTGCTCCATTTGCAACAATGATGTGAGAGATCCAAAGAAGAAGTCATATTTTGTCATCCTTTCTGTCGAAAGTCAGCTAAACGAGCTTATGCAAAGTAAGTAAGAAAATATAATTTTATATGTTGCAGTTTAAAATGATCTTATGTTAAAATGATTTCAAACTAGTTTGATTTGTACTTTTCTTTGTCTTAGGATTATGGTAATCAATCTGGAACAAAAGAAAATCAAAACTAACCAAGTTTGAAATCATTTTGACCTAAGATTCATTTCAAACTACAACATATACAACAGTGATTGATGTTAAAATGGAATAAATATAAATACTGGCTTAACTACAGCATCATATATTTAGCCACTTTCGATGCTTCCTGGGATAATAGCTAGATATATATATCGCTTAAAATATGCAGTCACCCCTATTGAAGTATAATATTTCCAAATATTTGGTCCTATAATGGGCCAGTAAGATCCATGTGACAAAAAGTTTCAAAGTCTCTGAAAGTTAAGCCTAAAATGATGATTTAGTTTTTAAATGTATATGTAAAAAAAAATATTATTGAGTCGGTTTTCACATGATAGCAATATTATCAAGGTCTCGATTTGTGTTACCCACCTTGGCTGTGGAAATTCTTACTATCTTACTCACCATATGTATTTGAATAAGTGCCCTGTGCGCTTCTTTAATGTTAGGTCCTTTAAGGTCGATGTTTATTCAAGGTGGGCACTTATTCTGATAAATGCAGAAACCTCATCCTGTGGCAATTGAGCTACATCAAATTAATAGCTATAATCTGCTGGTGGTGTCGACTGACACTCAAATCACAGTATTTTGTGATAAAAGAGTGCAGTGATGTTTTATCATTCAACCAGTAAGCTTGATTTTCTTTGTTGTTTTTTTGTCATCTGATATTAGGAAGAGAATTTCAGGAAGATATAAAGTACCGCTTTCTGCGAGAGAAGACATCCCCTCACAACATTGAGGATGTATATGATGGCCATCTCTACAAGAAGCTGTTTGAAAATAATGGCCCACTTTCTCAGCCAGAGAACTTATCCTTAAAGTTCAATACAGATGGTGTTTCTATCTTCAAATCATCAGGTTCAAGTATTTGGCCAGTGTACTTTGAGATCAATGAGTTGCCACCAAGTAAAAGGTAAAAATTAGAGTAAATTATTATTGGTGAATTGTAAGTGCATCTTATTAAACTTTTGGAATTATCATTGTATTCTCTATTCACAATACTATTTCCGAAAACATTGCAAAAAAAATTAGTTGCCTTGTTGATGACTGGAATGACACATACTGTACATATACTTAGTTGAACTGAATTACATTGGTTATTTAACAACATTTTTCACTACTATTTTCTGTGATTGTGCCAAACCATTATTTTCATCAAAGGATATTATTATAGAGTTCCGTATCAGACCCTTTTTATTTAAAAACTAACTTTCATTACTCTTACCCTATTGTTCCTTTTTCTAGGCTGGAAAAAAAAGCTCTGACTCTGATAAATGTAAATTCGTAAGTGCATTTTAATGTTTTCATGTTTTAATTAATAGGAAACGATTGGAGAACATGCTTTTGGGTGGCCTCTGGTTCAGTGACAAAAACCTGTGATGTCTACCTTTTGAAACCTTTCAGAACTTCATTAGAAGACCTTGAAACAAAAGGTACCTGGATACATGGTGTCTCTGAGACAGCTTTATGTTCATGTCTATGTTGTGGCTAACTAAATTTTTTTATGGTTTAAAGTTTGTTTGGCAAGGTTGATTTTTATTTTCCCTGTTTTAAAATGTAGTTATAAATATAAGACAAAGGAAAGTATAGTTTTAAAACTAAAAACAAGTTTCAGCCACAACATATATACACTGTACATGTACTTATATTTAGAGTGTATATAAAATTTTGTATAAAGTTTTCAAGCAAACTGTACTAGGAATAAATGTACGTGATTTCTCCTGGCCAACTTGTATGGTAGTGTATTATACTGACTAGATGCATAATTAAGTTTGACATTAGGAGAATGTATCCTAATCTTGTGCATCCTGTGCTGCCAAGCGGTGATCATTTTCATTGTTTGCATGATTTGTGTACGTTTTTGGTGCCAAGTTGGTGACTACAGAAAACAGTGGTTTAGAATTTACGGTGACTCTTAACAATTGTATTCCCACAAAATATCCTATCAAATCCACTTTTGATTACTACTAGAGTTTTTATATTATTGGAAACATTGAGCCCTGGCCAGTTGAGCTGAGTTCATTGTCCTGTGTATGTAATATGTGTAGTAGATGTGGACCCACTGTCCCAACAACATGATTATACATTATTTTGTTATTGTACAAATAATTTAAAATATACTTTGTTTATATACACTTTTAGGACTTGTTATGGAGATTCCAGATAAGGGAAATTTTACCAGTCATGTGTTCCTTCTTGGCTCAGTTCTTGATCTTCCTGCAAGGTGTTCCTTTTTAGAGATGGTTCAGTACAATGGCTTTTGCAGCTGCTGTTACTGCATGGTTTTGGGAATGTCTTGCAAATCAAGTGTGAAAGAAGGACACAGGGGAAGAGTTACAGTTTTTCCTTTCAATTTTGAATCAAACAATGGACTTGCTAAAGAACGCACAAAAAGAAAGTATGGTTGCAGATGGCTTGCAGTTTCTGCAGGGTACATCAGGAGGAAAACCTGTAAGTTAGTGTACTGTCATTAAATGTCATGAAATGATTTAGTCTACTTCATATATACCTTTATCCTGGGTGTTAGTGTTTGTTTTTTTGTTGTTTTTTTTCGCACATTGAAGACCCTACATTCACAGAGTGTCGAAGTTGTATTATACTATTGTCATTTTCTAATGGGGTTTCTGAATCATCACAAGAATTTTCAATACCTCAAGGAGCCTTATAAGCATTAATTTTTGTAATTTCACTTAGATTTAGAAACCTACATAGAAAACTATGACTAATACATATGAAACATTTAACACAAAAATAAAATACGAAATGTACTGTTCTAGTCGACCTTACACTACAGTGTACAGTAGACCTTAGTTTAATTGACATCTACATGTACATCTATAAAGTGCACTTTCATAATTATTTGTTTTCTTACATTTTCTTAGGTAAATGGGATGAAAGGTGTTTGCCAGTTTGCAAGCCTTAAACACTATGATATCAGTAAAGGTGTTTGCCTGGATTACATGCATGGGGTCCTGCTGGGAGTTACACGACAATTGATGGCCCTGTGGTTTGATTCAAAACACAAGGACCAACCTTGGTACTGTGGTGATCGTGTCAGTATTATTGATGAGCGTCTTTGTAGTATCCATCCACCCATGAATATCACAAGAACACCCAGACCTATTGAAACTCATCGCAAGTATTTTAAAGGTATAATATCCATTAAGTCTACATATGTGATAGATGAGCATACAGTCGTGTACTGTTTAAAGTAGGCATGTTTTCTTGTAATACATATACCCTATGGTTCTTTTTTTTTTTTTCACAGCAACCGAATACCGAAATTGGCTGTTTTACTACAGCGTTCCTTGCCTGGTTGGTGTTCTTCCCGATGTTTATCTTCACCACTTCATGCTTCTTGCATTTAGTGTGTGGCTGGTGAATCAGCAGACTATTTCACCAGAAGAAGTCAATCAGAGTGGAAACCTTCTGGCAAAATTTGTGATGCTGATGGATGCCCTCTATTGTGAGTATTTAACTGCTTCATTTGGGCCTCCATGCATTAACTTTTGTTGAGATCAATGTATTTGTCAATTAATAGTTAATTATTTTGACACCATGGTGGCTTTTACAGCTAGTGAAATGGGGTGTTTGCATTTTTTTTTTTTTCAGCTGAGCGTCATATGACCATCAATATCCATAATTTGCTTCACATACATGCATCAGTTCACAATCTTGGACCACTGTGGGCAAATTCAACTTTTGACTTTGAGGATGCAAATGGGGAGTTAACTGCGCTTTTCCATGGCACCCAGAACATAGATATGCAGGTGATCAAAATAGCAAGAATCAATAATACTGTGCTCATAAAATATATATTTGAAAGGTATCTAAAAGCAAGTCTAATAATTAATTTACTCATTGATCAATAAGATGTATGGAAGGATTCTTTTGATCTTTTGTAGATAGCATCCTCAGTCTCTGCAGTCAAAATTGCTCCAGACCTTGCGCGGAAATTGGACAAAGACTCTCCTAGTTACAGTTTGTACAGAAGGATGAAATTTGGAAAAGAACAGAAGTATGTATGGCAGTAGTATGTTTCAAATACTATATTGATTTAGCTTTAAAATCAATAACAGTGACGTGTTCATAGTCCATAAGACTCAAAAGTAACATGATTCTAACCCTGTTAATACCTTAGTTTAGTTCGTTCTTATTGGTCGATATACATTAAGCCATTGGTAAAAAAAAAAATTGATATTTTTTTTATGCATTTAAGGTCAACAAAGCTTGAGGATGGAGTGCATTTACTTGGTGCTTTTACTGACTTTGAGGTCCCAGAAACTATAGAGCAGCATATCAAGGATTTCACTGGAGATTTGGCTCTGGGAAGATGCCAGAGTTTTAAGAGGGCAATCATTCGTGGTGAAGTATTTCACTCTAAATCATATGGCCGTGTTTCCAGAAGAAACAGTTACACTGTAACCTATGAAGACAGTCAGAAGAGGAGGGAATGTGGTCAAATACAGTATTTTGTGAAACATACACCCATTTGCCAACGTGCTTGTATTGCCTTATGCCAGTGCAACAAAGATCAACACTTTGCCATTGTTGTGCACATGGAACCATTAAGAGATTCTAACCTTCTGGAAAAAGCTGGAATTGAAGGAATCCAGAAGCAGCTTCAGATCATGCAGAAGCCAAGGTACACAAACATGTCAAATGTCCTATCTGTGTTTAAACCATTGGATAAATTAATTGTGCAGTTAAGTTTTTGCTTTTGGAAAATCTTTTTTTTAATATCACACTTACATACCAAGCATCAGAATTTGTTTGATCCGATTTCTACCAACCATCCAGATAATGGGTCTCCTAATAGCTACGGTACAATTGGGCAGTTGGAGTATTGAAACATCAGAACACAAGATGCGTCATGTATTTACTGTTGATGACTATATAACCACTACACTGTCACAATCATCTATTAATGCAATAATATGTCAATGCAGCAACTTTGCTAACTTCACAGTGTACGTTGAAATAAGAACTTGGATCAATAGCATTATCCAAGGGTACAAATTATTGTTTAAGAAATACAAATATACCTGTATATAAATGTAGGTTTTGGTAATAAAACAAAAGAACTTAATTACTTTATGGCTAAAAGATGGACAGCGATATTGAGATCTTTTGTTTTGTTCCGCATCTTAAAAATGGCCTCATTTTGTATTTCCTACCTCATTTTCTTTTTATTTCTTTCAGAATGGAAAATGTTGATGTCATCCCAATCAGGAACATCTTACATAAATGTGTTTTTATAGATGTTAAGGATGCTGATGATTGTGTTTATGTGACCCACTTCCCGAATTTCATTGAAACAGACTGAAACAATTGAGCTGGAAATTGTTGTGTGATACCTTTAATTAATGTAAATATATGCATATGCAAAAAAAAGTATGTACATCAATAATTTGGACTATGACTGAAAAATAACTCGATCGGTGCTCAAACTCGCTCTGTGACATATATTGTAATATTTATTAAGTCAATAAGGCTCCCCCCCGGCCCCCCACGTCCCCCCCCTGACACTTGCTAGTTTTCTAGGGTTTCATTTTTTTTAATACTCCCTTCTGGTGCCATCAAGTATGTCACATGTATGTTGAGTGGTCCCAAGTGCCTTTTATGCATGCACATTAATTAATATATATATAATCATACTGCACTTCTACATGTATGTCACATATATGTTAAATTATCCTGAAAGATATTACATATATGTAACATATATGCATGGTCATTTCAAAACTTTTACATATATGTCACATATATGTCTTATCATCCTATGAGATATTACATATATGTAACATATGTGTATAGGCACTTCAAAACTTCTACATATATGTCACATATATGTACAGTTATTTGACATATATATGTTACAGCTACATATACGTCACATATATGCAACATATATGTGGTTTTGGTAAGGGGCGGTAAATTGTTGTATTTATAAGCATTATGCAAATTACGTTTCAAAATTCTGCTCGTTCGTCGATATTTTATACTCTAAATCTAAAAAATGTGCCGTTCAGAAATTGTTAGATATCTGCTTTTTGAGATTTAAGTGGAAGATTGCCAATATTTTTGCTCGTTTATGAAAGTCAGCTTAATTCTGTCACTAGGCTATTTTTCCGAGTTCGGCGGCTAATTTTAGGCCCGCTGACCGTTGAAATCGAAAATCTCAAATAATTCCCAAACTCGGCCGCATTTTGAAATTTAAACCTCAGCAGTGTTATAAATTCATTAAAACCTTACCACAGACTTAAAATGAGGGTAGGTTAGGTTTTGAGCTGTGGCCACGGTTTGCTCGATTTTTCTGTGCATTCGCTCTTAAAAAGTTAAGGACTTAAATTTGTTGCTTAAAAGCCTTTCGATCCCCTGGAACTTCCACCTTTGTTTTTATTGACATCTGAGCATCGGTCTTCAATTTACTCCAAAAGACAGATTTGAGCCTAAATGTTCAAGCGAAGTTTCGGCAAAATGTAACTTAGTCCCCATTATAGGGAGTTCCCCCCTCCCTAGTATGCTGGCTCACCTCGCTTTAAATCGCGTGGATAGTAAGATCTTTCCGGGTTTGGAATGAAGTCCGCCGGCCTGGCCTCTTTTGTCCTGTTGTTAAACTCGCAGGTGAGAAGAGAGATTACCCAATTAAAACTTTGGCATCGATTGTCTTCGCGACACTTGAATACGCATGTAAAGGGAAGCTCCGCTAGAAGAGTGTCGTATACGTGTCCTCGTAACATCCAGCCAAAGATGGAACTCTCGGATCTTCCATTTGCAGGACATTTTTGAGTTACTGCGCTGTAGACCAGGAGAGCCACAACTGTGATACGGAAAATTATTCTTGCAGTCATGTCTGGGACTCCCCGCTGAAGTATAGAAAAGTATTTTGTTAAAACGCACACTAATTTTTTTTTAGACTGCGAGCTGTCTCTTATTTTTCTTTGCAAAGTTGCTACACGCAAAAACTCGATCCCTATATAATAACATCGTGGTTTGCAATTGCGCTAGATGAGATCAAGAACTAGACGGATTTTAAGAGAAAAGGCGGACTGCAAGCAGTCTAATTTTTTTCGTGTCCTATCACTTGCAGCCTTTTTTATGTTTTAAGTACGTTAGAGTTTTATGATCATAAACAAGCTGTATACAGCTGTATTGCAATTTTTCCAAGATTATGAGTTAAAGGTTGTAACCAAGCATATATTTAAAACGGCCTTTTTACGAAAAATGTAAATAACTTCGAAATCCCACGACAATATTAAATAACTTCTATTCATCAAACTTACGTTGTATTTGTCCCTCTCTTTTAGAAACAAATCTTAACAAAGCAAAATATAGCATCTACGAAAAACTCTCAAGAGTTTTTAGCGTCGCAGGTTCCTGTTCTGAAGAGAAATAAGGCCACCAACGCCAGTACTTCTAACCATCCATTTTTCAGCTGCAACGAACCTTCATATGTGGTAATTTATTCACTCTTTTAAGACTTACCATCACATTTGCACGGGCAGTTTGCTGTTGGGGATAATGAGAAGAATAAGACGATTGTCATATTTGTCTTCATCTTTATTCCCAAGTGGTAAACTTCCCGTGTGAGTGCGATGGCAAGTCTAAAAAGCTTGAATAAATTACCAAATACAAGGGTTTTCATTGCAGCTGAAAAATGGATGGTTAGAAGTACTGGCGCTGGTGGCCTTATTTCTTTTCAGAACGGGAACCTTCGACGCTAAAACTCTTGAGAGCTTTTCGTAGATGCTATATTTTGCTTTGTTAAGATTTGTTTCCAAAAAGAGGGACAAATACAACGTAAGTTTGATGAATAGAAGTTCTTTAATATTACCGCGCGCTCAGCATAAAGTTGTTCTTCTTGAAGTGCTAACTATGTTCGCCGTAGGTTTCTGATTACTGTGTTTCTTGCAATAAAGCTTTAGGTAGGAATATCCTTTCCGATAGGAGATAGTCTGTCAGCACTCTACCTCTATTCGTGTGTCAACTTTCACAAATGTGTTAATAGGGTAGCATTTTAAGGTTAAATTTGACCAGCATTTTGTGCAGCGAGTTCTACGGTCTCGATTGCCTTGCTCTGAGGCTTATTTGCTGAAGTTAAGGAAAATCTGTCATGGGATTTCGAAGTTATTTACATTTTTCGTAAAAATACAGTTTTAAATATATGCCGATATCTCAAGGTTTTTATACCTACAAAAAAAATAAATAACGTTTTCTTAAAGTTCCATTACTATTTATTTAGTATGCCAGAAATCATAAAAATCGGTTGAATCTTTCATTCTAAAAAACGCGAATCAAAACGTAACCAACACGCACATAAATAGGAACGGGCCACCTTAAATTGTATTCACTAAAAATCAGTTATAAACAAAACCAAGACACAGAGGTTAACTAAAAAATCTTTACTTCAAAAGAAGGAAAAAGGAGGTTAGGCGAATGTGGAATTGTACTAATTTTTTTCCGGCAAATCGTGAAAATGAGGTCGGCGCGCAGCGAAGTGAAAAACTGCCTATCAAGCATAAATGTCAATCTTTGTTTACTTGACTCTGTACAAAAGGAAAAGGGAGGTTAGGCGAATGCGAAATCGTACTAATTTTTTTCGAGCAAATCATGAAAATGAGGTCGAAGCGCAACGAAACGAAAAACTGCCTATCAAGCAAAAATGTCAACCTTTGTTTACTTGACTCTGTAGAAAGTATTGCACAGAGTATAAAAATTGTATAGAAAACAACAGGTGGTTCTAAAGTAAACCCTAACTCTTTTGGTTCTTAATAAACTCCATTCTAGTAACTAATGAGTGGAACGTCTAGTAAAAAAAAAACAATAGGAATAAGAAGTGCAATCTTCTGGCAAGACATGTCTTCTCATTTAGCGCTAAAAATCGGATATATAAACAAAACACATACACACAAATACACAAAGTGGAGCTGAAAACTCTCTATTTCAATTTTGACTCACCATTACAAAAGCGTTTTCTCCGTTCTATCTCGAGGAAACGACTAACTAGCTATTGAAGTCTCAGCGCTTAATGAGCTTATGGTCTTGTCAATTCATGCGCCGTTAGGCAGTTAATTATGCGAGTTCACACGCCCAAACTGAATACAAATTAGTTCATCGATCTCTACAGCTAGACCTAAGGGAGCACCTTGACGTATTATTATCTAAACAATTTTAAATAACTTAACTAGGATCAATTAAAACACGCGACTAATAATTGCTAGCAATAAAACCACAAGACAGATACCGTTTTAAAAACTTTTAATTATTAAAAACAAATAACAAAACAAAAGAGTCAAATACACAACGATTAGAAAGGAAAAGGAATGAAAATTAATCCTTTGACTGGCTATTACAAATCCGTTTTTTCTGTGTTATTTCGAGGAATAATAAAAAATCCTTCGGTGTCTACACAATTTTCCTATGGCCTCTAAGCCAAGAGTTCGACTTTCTTTGTTTCCTTCGCTTTGTCTTGTTCTTTGTAGTCGGTCTTTTAGCTTTTGCTTTAAAAGAGGCTTCATTTCTCTGTGATCTTGACAGTTCGCAGTACACCGTTTCTTGTGTCTGTACTGGATTGCGATAGTGATTTTATCCGCTTCACTTGCGTAAACGACGACTTTAACTTTAGGTTGCAGTTTCGCCTCTGGTAAATACTGTCTTCGCTGTATGTGGCCTAACTGATGAACATCCGCGAGATGGTTAGGTAATCTGACAAGGTACTTCGCCCCACACGATGAAATAGGACAGTTTCTACAAACTCTCTTGTAAACCATGTTGACAGTTCGATGGCTGAACACAAATGACATCTTTTTCGCAATACAGTCGACTCCCGATAACTCGAACCTTTAAGGGAAATCGAAAAAAGCTCGAGTTATCGGGTGTTCCAGTTATCGGGAGCTTGAAGAAAACAGCTGAGAGTAAGGTAAAACCAGTTTTTACTGCACAGTGAACATTTTAATCACATATAATTGTAGAAATGTCAAGTGAAAATTAAAAGATACTTCTAGATTATAAATCAGAACGTAACGTAACAAACCATAGCCTAAATAGAACATGCGTTTTACTGTTTTGAGAAGTAAAGCTGCTTCACGTTAGCCTGTGACAATCGATATCAGCCTCCATTAGTAAACTATACTCCTACAACACGTCAATAGGAAGTCCAAAATTCAATGTTTCGGACGCCAGTACACGGCATTTTTCCGGACTTTTTAAGGGCTCAAAAGATGGTTCGAGTTATCGAAGGTAAAATTATATAGAAAATGACCTGAGGGGAAACGAAAATTGGTTCGAGTTAGCGGGAGTTCGAATTATGGAGGGTTCGAGTTACCGAAGGTAAAATTACAGTGAATGTATGACGGAAATCCAGGGGAAATCGATTTTGGTTCGGGTTAGCGAGGGTTCGAGTTATCGGGAGTCGACTGTAGTCAGGTTATATAGAGTGTCAGAAAGGCCAAACACAGGCCAGAAAGGCCATAACCAGGCCTGAAAGGCCAAAACGCTGCCAAAAGGGACAAAAGGAGACAATCGGGCCATTTCTAGTCATGTGTCTTTATTTTTCTCAAACACACGCGTGGGTGTCGCGCGTCACTAGTCACGCAACAGCTCTCAACATTGGAATGATTATCTTTATTCAGTGTAATCACAAACAACAGTGCCTTAATTAAAAAAGTTTTGATCGTGAATTAGTAATTGGTATTTCAAATTTCAGATTTTTTTTATTTATTTTATGAGTTTACTATTATTGTTATTATTTTCAAGTCAGCAATAAAACACTCTTAAAGTTTGGTTGTTTACAGTTTTTATTGAAACTTAACAATACAAAGGTCTAGGAAATATAATTCTATAACATTCATAGTTGGACTAGTCTTCATCTTGTGGAATGGGCTGCTTTTGATACAGTCGATGAAGTAAGAATTTTCGCTTATCGATCGCTAGTTCTGTCGATTCCAACCAATCGAATCCTTCTGTATCTTTTAGTTCTTTTTGGGTTTCAGTTACTTTTTTGAAGGTGGGATCTTTTTTCATTGCACGCATCCACGTTAGATTCTCTAAGAGTACTTTTCTCAGCTCTCTTCTGTAAACAGGAAGAAGAGCGTTCTCGGCTTTCACACGGGCCACATTTTCTGAATCTCCGTTCCCTTCGTACTCATTGATCAATGCGTTGAGCTGGGTCTCATGGCGTTTCTCGGCTTCATCAAGAATGCGTAAGCAAGGCGCTAAGTTTTCTGTTTCTTCTTGGGAAGACTCCCTTTCTTGGCTAGAGACTTCGCTTTCTTGGGAGAAATCGCTTTCTTCGCTGTCTTCATTTTTTCCAGCTCCTTGTTGAAGGTATAAGGTATAGCCTGTGACCGTCATCTTTGGTTTGAACCAAACGCGTTCTGATAGGAAACTAAACTTCAGAAAGCAACGCGTCTCTTTCATAGAAAATTGGTGAAGGCGGGGTTTGGCTAAGCGTTCTCCTTCGTAAATAATAATCGATCTTACATTGACCGCACATTGACCTACACTTAACAAACCAAGGGCAAACGAAGGTAAAAAGGGCCAAAACCAGGACAATAGGGCCAAGTTTCGTAGTACTTTCTCTTCAGTCCATGTATCTTTGGGAAATAAGTTTCTAGACGACCCCATCAGACCAAGTCAACTGGGATAACTGTATCTACGGTATCTCCTGGTCTCTTGCTTTCTAAGTAACGACGACAATCTTGACAGAGCATTATATAACGAAGGCCATCGTTGTCCAGGCGAAGGACTAAACATTGATCTTTTAATTCGTCACACTCCTTTTCCTTCTGACGCAGCTGACGTTGCGTTTTTTCCAGTATCTCCTCTTTCGCTATTAACATCATGACTGACC